GGCTGGACGCGCCGCGATCTAAGACTGTACCGAAATGGGAGCGGGATCCCGGCTCCAGGAAGAGCCCCTCTGGAGCCTGGGGTGGGGTCATCCTACGCCCTTCCGCGTCGGCTGTTCCTGAAGCAAGTTTCCACAGTCACAAAGCTGGGAAGTTACTCAGCCCACGGGACCGAAGGGTGAGTCAGAAGAGCTCAAACTGCGGAGAACTGGCCTGGCCGCCCTGGCCGGCACGATCGGGTGCCACCCGTTGCTTCCTCCAGAGCCACCTCTTTGGGGTAGGAGCCCAGGGGGCGCTAACCCTCTGGATTCATAGCTTGGGTCTCGGAAAAGGGCCCTCACCCATTCTAGCCTGAGTGCCCTCCTGCTAGTCCTGCCTGCAGCTGGAAAGCAGAGGAGAAACTGCGAAGAATCACCATGCCTTTGAAAAAGTTTTAAGCAGATTCCTTGGATTGTGGTGGTTCATGGTTTACTAAGAGCACTTTCACATGCATTAGCTCATTTGCCCTCCCTGAACACCGTGTGTACCGGTCTCTGAGCCAGACAAATGGAAGAGGCAGTGCATTTTATAAGAAAATGTAAGGGCCGGGGATGTAGCTCAGTGGCACTGTGCCTGCCTTGGGTCAGTTTGAAGGCCCTGGATTCAATCCCTAGTCTCACCACCAGGGGAAAAAAAAGGAACTTTCAGTCCAGTTGTAGAGAGAAAATAGAAACTATTACATAACATTTCCAGGTAGAATAAAATACAGTAGCTGTTATAAAGAAAGGGCAGATTCCTTTCCTGAGACACTTGGAGGAAATCACACCCAGCTGGATAGGGCTGTGGAGAGAAAGTAAGTTTAACAGATGGAAAATTATACGAGTAAAACCTCAAATGACAGGAAAGGGTTTAAAGATAGAAATAAGGGTAGCTACAAGCCAGGCATGGTGGTACATGTCTGTAATCCCAGCACTCAGGAGGCTGAGGCAGGAGGATCCCACGAGTTCAAGGCCAGCCTGGGCTACATAGACCCTATCTCAAAAATTAAAACAAAACCTCAAAGAAGTTGGGGTGGTAGAACTTTGTTGTTCATAAACCTCTTCTGAGCTACTTTAGCATCTATTTTTAAAATTTTAATGTAATAAAAGTAGGTATTAATATAAAAGCTGTTTTTGTATTTGTTTTTTGGGGTTTTTTTTTTGGTACCAGGGATTGAACTCAGGTCCTTGTGCTTGCAAGGCAGGCACCGAACCACTTAGCTAAATCCCCAGCCCCTAAAAGCTGTTCTATGAAAAAATTTTCCTAATAAAAATTATTAGTGAATAACCGTGGTACATACACTGTGTATCATGATCTTAATATATTTTCATTTGCTAATCTATCAGCTCATTTCCTAATAATACTGTACTTTTGCATAAAACATTTTAAATACTGACAAAGTGTCTCATTCTATGTAATTTTGAACAATTTCTTCTATTTCACAATATATGTTATTCTTTTTGGTCCTTATTTTCACTCAGTTTCTCACACCAGAGAGACAGTGTGATGTTTATGTGTGCATGTCATAAACATCTATTTTCATGTTTGACAAATAGCGGAAGTAGCTACTTCTTAAAAATCTAAATTCACCCTCTCCGCTCCATTCCTCTGTCCTGGCTTCCTTTTCCTTACTCCTTCCTATGCCTGTTTGTAGAAGGTCCTGACCGGCCTACTTGGCCCCAAAGATGGACTCCTCCTGCTGGTTTTCAGCATTATTCGGGAGGAATCCTTACCTGTGGCTGCAGCTTTCTGGGCTGCAGATCTGACCAGGTCCCTTGTCAGGAAGTCTGTGTGTGTCCGGGGTGCTGGGGATACCATTCAGCCTCTCCCGTGTGAGGCACGTGTTCCACCGTGAGCCACGTCCTGTCCTCTCTACTTAAAATCTTTTTCTTTTTGGTACCAGGAATCGAACTCAGGACCTTGTGCTTGTGAGGCAGTCGGTGGAACCACTGAGCTAAATCCCTGTATTTAAAAATCTTTTGATGACCAAACATCTTTTGCAGAATCCCTTCCAAGCCTTGGTGATCAAGGTCTTCCACACAAGGCCTCTGCCTGTCTCAGCTGTATGTGTGGCCTTATCTGGATCACAGTTTAGCGTTTCCTAAGGGCCCCTTCTCTGTGCATACCTCACACGCTGTTCTTGTTAAGAGATTTGCCTAGGGTTTTTTTTTTTGTTTGTTTGGTTGGTTGGGTTTTTTTTGTTTTTTTTTGAGACAGGGTCTCACTGTGTAGTTGGGATTGACCTGGAACTCACTATGTAGCCCAGGCTGGTCTCCAACTCACAGTGATCCTCCTGCCTCAGCCTCCTGAGTGCTGGGATTACAGGCGTGCACCACCACGCCCGGCTGCCCAGGGATTTCTACAGGTCTTAAAATCTAGCTCCCCATTCTCACCAGATTGGCCTGGGCATGTCTCATCTGTCACCTCAGAACCCCTTGGTTCCCGTCAGCTGTCCCCTTGTCATAGCGTAATGCCTCATAATGTATCACCTGGAGTTGATGCTTAATAAATGTTTGTTGCACTAGGTGCGGTGGGAAAAACCTGTAATGCTGGTTACTCCAGAGGCTGAGGCAGGAAGATCACGAGTCCAAAGGCAGCCTGAGCAACTTTTTTTTTGTTTTGTTTTGTTTTGTTTGGTTTTTGAGACAGGATCTCACTATGTAGTTGAGACTGACCTGGAACTCACTATGTAGCCCAGGCTGGTCTCGAACTCACAGTGATCCTCCTGCCTCAGCCTCCCAAGTGCTGGGATTATAGGTGTGTGCCACCACGCCCGGCTAGCCTGAGCAATTTAATGGGATCCTGTCTCAGAATTTTGTAAAAGTTGGGGATATAAGGGGAGGAGGGGGTGAGGGGAGGGCAGGGACAAGGGGAAAAAATGAGAACCAAGATCTGTCATGTAAAGGTACAAGATCCCAATAATGAATATAACTGTACTGTCTACCTAGAATGTACCAATAAACTAAAAAAAAAAGTTGGGGATATAGTTTAGTGACAGCTGGGCGTGTGGCGCACACCTGTAATCCTAGCACAGTGTGAGGGGGCACTGGGCTGTACAGAAGTGGGAAGGGTCATCAGGATACTGTAGGTTGTTTCGCAGACATGTCTGCAGTGGGTTCTCACCTATGTCGATGTCCGGGAACCTTGGGAACTCGTAAGGATGGGACAAGATGAGCTCACGCAAATGGCAGCGGGCAGGCGGCCTCGGTTCTCGCCATGCGGGCCTCTCCACAGGGCTGTTGGAAGCACGACACCTGCTTACCCCAGGGCAAATGATGAAACATGAAGGTGGGAGTCTTCCTCACTGGTCCCAGAAACCATGACGTGTGGGCGGGGACAGGACGACGGGACAGGAATGGCAGGCAGGAGGGGCGGTGGCTAACTCCACAGCAGCTAGGGAGCTGGTCTGGGCCTCTTCTCCCTCTGCAGTGGAGTGCAGTGAAGCCTGCCACCCTGGGGAGAGGCAGAGCCGACACATTTGCGTTTTGCAGATGAGGAGGCCCGAGGATGAGGATGCTCTGAGACTCCCCTGCCTCTGCGCTCTTGCAGCCTTGAACCTACCGCATGGACCTAAGGTCCATGAACAAGCCAGCCATGATGGTCAAACACAGGTCCTTGCTTTGCCTTTGCGGGGCCTGAAATGGTCAGTACAGGCCCGTAACCAAACCCTGCTCGTAGTTATATCCCCCATCATGAATATGTTTATTTTTATCCTGAGACAAGGTCTTGCTGAGTCAGTAAATTCTCCAGGCTGGGCTTGACCTTGACATCCTCCTGCCTCAGCCTCACAGAATGCTAGGTTACAGGTGTGCACCATCATGCCCAGGCCATCCCTGGCTTCTAACCAGACAACTTCTCAGTGCAGGGCTGTCTTCTGACAGAGCCCCTGGAGGACTCCCACAGCACCTGGACACCTGAGCCCTACGGCTGACCACACCCTCCCTGCCAGGGCGGGGCCTCGGCCTGCGTCTGGACAGGCTGGTCCACTCCCTCCTCGCCGCACCAAAGAAACCAAAGCCCACACCAAAGTATCAGAAACGTGTGTTCTTTTCTTTTAATAGTAAACCTCTTTACAACAAATATAGTGAAAGAGTTTTCAAACAAAACTCATTAAGAATCTCAAGGACTTTGTCTTTTCTTATTGTGTAGAATACTAAGAAAGCATCACCATACAGCACGAAAGGAAATATTGAAAACAAATCAACAGCCACACACTTGGGCTTGCCCAGCCCGGGACCCAGGTGCCCCAGGAGTGTGGGTGATTGTCGGCTTGGGGTGGGTCACCCCCCCATCCCGCCCCTCCCTCCCTTCCTCTGGGACTTGGATGGGGACAAAAGAGAATCCAGATTCTCCATAGGCCATCCCAGACCCCTGCCCCCAAACAAATCCCAGTCCTACCAACTGCTTAGGGGTGGGGCAAGGCCAAAGAGGGGAGATCGAGGAATTCCTGGGCTCCAGGTCTCCCCTCCATGAAAGCCTAGCTCCCCCACCTCCTGGGATTTCAAAGAGTCAGTTAAAAATATATAAAGATATAGATATTTCTAGATACACTTTTACATCATTTCTGTCTCTCCAAACAAATAAATAATCAGCAAAAGAAGGTGCATTACTTCCTTCCTGTCCGGAGGGAGGGCTGGGTGGGGCTGGGTCAGTCTGCTCCTTACTGCACTGTGGGGAGGAAGTGTGTGTTCCGCAGAGGCAGGGCGGCCCTCTCCCCCTGCTGTGGGAACCCGGGGAGGGCAGGCAGGGGCATAGGATGACTCCAGTGGTTACTTTGGCGACTGCCTGAGGGAGTGGGTGCAGACAAATTTGGCTTGTGAGAGGAAAAAATAAACAAAGTCCCCGCTTGAGGTTGGGGCTAGCCAGGTGCCCCGGCCCCCAGAGAAACCCCGGGGTACTGAGCCTCAGAAATGTCCCATATTCATTCACAGACCACTCCCTGCTGCCAGGGATGGAGAGAGGACACACACATCCACACAGGTAATCAGGAGCCAGGCCCGCTCTTCCGAGCAGAGGGCAAAGCTGACAAAAATTGCACCGCGAACTGCAGGGGCTCGCCCCCAGCCGGGGCATGGTGGCCACATCCTGCTACACAGGCAAGGAGACCCTGGGGATGGGAGGGACAGCCTGAGAAGAGAGGCCAGTCTCATCAGGCGCGAGCCCACACTCAGGCACTCAGCACACGGAGTGCCGCTGCCCCAGGACACGGCCTGCTTTCACAGCCTCAAGCAGTCCCATCAACTCCTACAGGGCTCTGGGCACCTGCGGGAAGGCAGGAAGGCCAGGGCGGCCCATCTGAGGCAGTAAGGAAAGTGGCTGCTGCCAGGCGGGCGGAGGCAGAAGAAAAAAGCCTCAGGAGGAAGAGGAATCTGAGTTTTGCTCTGAAAGTGAGATGGCGGAGGCCTCCAGGAAAGGGTCCTGTCAGGCATGGGGACCCAGGGGCACGTTTGTGGGGAGACCATGGTCCCAGGAAAAGCAGCCCTGGAGGAGCAGGGTGCAGGGAGAAGCAAAGAGGGCCGCTGCCACCCACCTCTGACGGCAGGGGGAGGCTGGGGCCGAGGGCAGGAACAGAGGAGTGAGGGACACACAGCCGGAAGCAGGGCAGTGGAGCTGAAGAGCCAGGCGGAGATGCACCTAGCCCCAGTCCCGCCAAGGTTCACGAATCCACCCTGCCGGGCTCAGAGGCACACCAAGGCACACCATGCACACGCACACACACTCACACACACAAACACAAGAGTACACTGGGACCCAGAAACGCCAGAGGCCCTCAGCATGCCACACGCCTCTCTGACTCTGGTTCCTTCCCTGTGCCAAGTGCCAGAATACTGTGAGGATGCTCATCGGCGCACACACCTGCCGCCTGGGGGCTGGCCTAACTGCCCGCCCACAGTCGCCCCCGCCAGGCCGGGCAGGGGAGCACACTGGGGTTCTGGTCTTCGACCCAGCCCAGCTCACAGGACCCAGGCCCTGACTGCCCGGCACTGGGCTCCCCGCGGCAGGGCCAGCAGAGAGGAGGGGAGGAGAGGGCACGGGAGGGAGGGAGGAAGAACAACAGCAGAATCTCATCTGTACAGTACGGGCCTGTTTGAGTCATTATTATTACAATATACTTTGACAAAAATAGAATCTCATTTCATATCAATACAACAACAACAACAACAACAAAAAAACAGTTTCCTGGACTGTTACACCGCTAACATTTTCCAAAGGTCACTATTTACAATTACAGTAGCCAAGAGGGGCGGTGGGATGCGGCCTCAGGCGGGACAGGAGGTAGCAGACAGTG